CGGGGAGGAGCCGCTCCGTGCCGGGGAGTCCTGAGCCCTTGGCAAGGAGCGGCTCCCCAAGGGACAGCCTTCCCTGGGGTGCAGCTCACAGCCCATCCCAATGATGAGCACAGCTCCCAAGGGACAGCCCTGCCATACAGATTCCTTTTTCCAAGGAGAGGGATAGATCTGGGAAGGTTTAGGAAGCTGCCTGTTGTAGTGCTGGGAGTTATTCCCTTTCCCAGCCTCTCACCACCCATATGAACCTTTGAACCAGAGGAGAGTCTCATGGAGGGGCCTCTTTTGGCATGTTCCCAGCTACAGTCAGCCTTTGTCCCATAACTGGGGTGAGGTGACAGGGGTGGAGATGGCTGATGTGTGGGATTTGCCTCTGAGCAATCCCTGGTGGATGGCTGGGCTGGGAGGGCTCAGCCTGTTGGAGCAGAATGCCATGAGGGGTCTTGGAGGAAGAAGTGCCCCTGTGCAGGAGGGGTGGGGCACCATTGGGGAGGGGTCCCTGAGGAGCCTGGGGACAAGCAGGCAGCTGGCAGGGGTACAAGGAGGGAGGTGTTCACCAAAGCACTGCTACTTGATATCAGGTCAGGGCTCTGAGTGATCTCAAAGGATGAGGGAGCCTGGGAGGAGAGGCCAAACACACTGCCAGTGTCCCTTGTTCCATGTAAAAATCCAGGTGAATTGGAAACTTGTCTGTGGTGTAATATATGGGCTGTGAGTATGACCCTGTGCATGTAGGATGAGCAGGGCTCTGGAGCAGGGATCAAAGGAAGTAAGAACCAAACAGCCAGAACCCAGGACTGACAAATTAACTTTTTGTCTGCCCCTGAGAAGTTCTGGAGGCAGTGCTGTCCAGTTCAGGGGGAGGCAGTCAGCCCAGCCCCCCTGCAGGTGGTTCATAAAGCAGAACCCTCAGAAGTGAGCAATCAGCAGGGTTGAGGCCATCCATATGTCTGCCCTGCAGGGCTGGGGGTGCCCTCAGCCTTCAGACAAGCAGAGGAAGCCCCTCCTTAGCCCCTGTTGAGCTGCCCAGACCTGAGTGCTGTGCTGCATCCCTGCCTGCAGGTGGTGAATTATGCCCCCTTCACGCTGCTCCCATCTGCAGTGCCACGGGCCTTGTTTGAACAAGCCTACGCTGTCCAGCAGGATTTTAACCTGCTGGTGGATGCTGTCAGTCAAAACAGAGAATTCCTGGAGCAAACTCTGGCCAGGTAATGTTTTTGCATGTTGCATTTTAATGAAATATTTTCAATGTAAATCTTATCACCCTTGTGACATCTCTGTCTTTCTGAGGTTTTCTTGGGCCCCAGAAAATGGCACATCTGGCCAAGACTGATTCCCTGCTATCATCTTCAACTTTGCCACTTTTTCAGGCTTATAAATTCATACTTGTGGGCTTTTGAGCCCCTGAGCCTTAAATGCAAACCACTGGAGTCTTTGAGTCCTGGTTTTAGGACTTTTTTAGTCTTATTCTGCATCTGCCTGTGTCTGTTCAGTACCCATCAGCTGTGCTGCAGCAGTGATGAAAAGGAGGTGTCTGTTCTGTTTCCACACCCTCCCTCATTCACCCCGTGCCCTCTTTCCCAGCCACAAGCTCTGGCTGCAGGAGAATTGCCCAGCTCTGGCTCCTGAGTGCTGCTGAGTTTATCTGTGGCTGTTGCATTTTGTCACTCGTGATTGTGGGGCTGATGCTTGCACAAATCCCTCTTCCCTTCCTGCTGCCTGTTCTGTGCTGCCTGTGCATGTTCTGCTGCCTCTGGCACTGGGACAGAGCAGAGGAGGCTGTTTTCCAGCATCCTTTTGTTCTGTTAAATCCTCACCCTTTGGAGCTGTTCCAGAGCTGGCTGCAGCCAGAGCCTCTGGGGACATGTTTGTACCTGTGCCTAAAGAATGCAGCACCTGGGGCTTGTGTGTGCTCAGGTGCCTGCCCGTGCCAGGGCAGCTCCCTGGAGGTGCTGCTCAGGATTTGGGGCCCTGAGGAAAAGCCAGATCTGCTCTAGCAGGGCCACAGTGTGTGGGGTTTGGAGCCTGACAGGACAGGGAATTGGATGAAGCTTCTCTGAACTGTGTGTGCAGGCCCAGAGAGACCTGTGCTTTGTGCCTGAACCTGCAGAATTCTGTCCCATCTCTGCCCTGCCAGTGAGTCACCTCTGCACAGGAGGGCCTTTTGTGGAGAATCTGTGCTTGGCAAGCTGGGTTTGTGTTGTGGTTTTGCACATTCATGGGAGGTGTTTCACAGTGCTACAGCACTTGGCTGAGCCCCAGTTCAAACCCAAGAGATCCCCAGAGGACATGGTTCTGCTCTTTGTGCTGGAGAATGCCCCTGCTAAGGGCTTTTTCTGCAGAATAATTAATTTTCTTGTCCTCTGTGGCAGCTGCAGGGGGCTGACGTGGTCTGTGTTTCTCTCTAGCACCATCAAGGTCGACGATTTCACAGCTCGGCTCTTCAGGATCTACAAGCAGGTTTTGGAGGAAGGCCTGGCTCAGGTACCTGGGCAGGGATCCCCGTGGTCTGTGCCCCTTGGCATTGTGCTGGGGGTGCCTGGGCTCTGGTTGCAAGCCTTGGCACTGTGGCCTCTGGGCTGTGCCAGGCTGGTCACTCCCTGCCCTGCAATGTCTTGTCACAGTGCTGAGCTCAGGACCTTGCCCTGTTGAGCAGCTGAGCTCTTTGGTTGGTGCTGCTGGAAACAGCCTGGCTGGAGAGGGAGGAGTTGATGGGGTTTGTCCTCTGGGAGCCTCAGGGTGTGCAGGGACGTGTGTCCTGTTGGGATCTGCACCGGCCAGGCCACCCTGCAGAATCTCCTTTACTCTCAGGAGTGTTGGGAGCTCCTCTGGAGCTCTGAGAGGGCTGTGGGCAGGGAGCAGAGCACCCAGGAGTGTGACCTGCATGGTTTGTATCAAACTGAGGATGACAGGACAAGAGGGAATGGCTTCAAACTGACATTGAACAGGTTTAGATGAGATATTAGGAAATTTACTGTGCAGGTGGTGAGGTGCTGGCACAGGTTGCCCAGAGAAGCTGTGGTTGTCCCACCACTGAAAATACTCAACTCCAGGTTGGACAGGGCTTGGAGCAAGTGGAAGGTGTCTAGTGGAAGGTGTCCCTGCCAGCTGCAGGGGCTGGGGTGAGATGGCCTTCAAAGTTCCTTCCAACCCAACCTTTCTGGGATTCTCTGGATCTGCTCTGGGAGGATTCTGAAGCAAGGCCAGCAAAGGATTTGCAGTTAAAGGCCACAGGAGACCCCAGCTGCCCTCCCTGTGTTGCAGAATGTGTTTTTGGGCATCAACCGCTCGGATTACATGTTTGACTGTGGGCTGGAAGGCACAGCAGCTCTGAGGCAGATAGAAATAAACACCATTGCTGCCAGCTTTGGGGGGCTCACCTCCCGCACTGCTGATGTCCACAGGTAAGGAGCACCTCCCCCTGCATGGCCCCTGTGCTCTCCAGGCTGCTCCTGGCTCCAGCTGGGCACAGACATGGCACTTACAGCTTTGTGTTCCACAGGTTGGTGTTGAAAGTGCTGGGAAAGAGTGAGGAGGCATCACAGCTGCTGCCCAACAACCCAGCCAAGGGGCTGGCCTTGGGAATTGCCAAAGCTTGGGAGCTCTATGGATCCCAAAGGTAAGGAGCAGTGCAGGGAGCCTGAATCATGAGATGGAAAGCTGTCCAGCTCAGGTGGAGTTATCTCAAAGGGTGAGAGGAAAAGGGAGCCTGGGAGGAGATGCCAAACACACTGCCAGTGTCTGTTGTTTCATGTAACAATCCAGGATCCAGCTAGGAGCATGTGGAGTGTTTATGGAGTGTTTATGGAGTGTTTAATGATGTCCTTGGTATCTCTTTCAGGGCTGTGGTGATGTTTCTGGTGGAGGATGTCCAGAGGAATATTTTTGATCAGCGTTGTGTAGAAAATGAACTTTGGAACAGGTAAAGTTTGAATTTTCCTGGGAAGGGAAAGGACGGAGGTTATGGTTCAGAATCTGGTATGGAAAGCTGAGCAAACAGCTGGCAGATCATAGGAAATGTAGAATGAGTTCCTAAACAGGGAAGTTTTTGGAATAGGTAAAGTTTGAATTTTCCTGGGATGGGAAAGGAAGGAGGTGATGGTTCAGCTTCTGATATGGAAAGCTGAGCATACAGCTGGCAGATCTTAGGAAGTGTAGGATGGGTTCCTAAACAGGGAGTTTTTTGGAACAGGTAAAGTTTGAATTTTCCTGCAATGGGAAAGGTGGGAGGTGATGGTTCAGTTTCTGATATGGAAAGCTGAGCAAGCAGCTGGCCGATCGTAGGAAACATAGAATGGGTTCCTAAACAGGGAGTTTTTAGGGATTTGTAGGATTTCTCTGGCTCCATAGCACAAAGCTTAGGCTGTTTGTGAAGGAACCTATAGATGCATGGATTCCACCCCTGACCTGCAGCTCAGGTGCCTGTGGGCAGCCTGGTGACTGTGGCCCTGCTCCTGCAGGAACATCCGCGTGCTGAGGAAGCGCTTCCGGGACGTGTTTGAGCAGGGCTCCCTGGATGCCAGCAGGAGGCTGTATATGTGAGTATGAGCCAAGGTGCGCACTCCTGCCGGGCTCCTGGGCTGCCAGGGGGAGCCTGCAGCCAAAGCTGGCTGGAAGAAATGGCTGAGGAAACAGTTCTCTTCCATGCTCCAGGCTGCTGCTTCCTCCTGGAGCTGAGATGGCTTTGTGTTCACAGTGGTGAGATTTTGCAGATACACATCAGTGCCTTACAGTTGCAGTCATAACCTCCCTCCTTCAGCCTTCATTGCTCTGGGGGATCTTTACCTCCTGCACAAAGGTCTGCTCTGAGCAGCCCGGGCTGTTTGAGAGCTCCCACAGAGCCATTTCCTGTTCACTGTTCACGTGCTGCTCTGCCAGAGCTGGGCTGGGTTTTTAGTGCAGGAGAGGAAGCATTCCATGTCCTCTGGGGATCTCTTGGGTTTGAACTCTCTGTGTCTTGCCTGCTCCCTGTGGAGACCAGGATGGGAGGATCACAGACTCCCAGCTGGTCCCAAGTGTGACGTTTGTCCCATTTCCAGGTAATGTGCTGGGAGCTGTAAGAACCCAAGGGAAGGGACTCCTATGAGCTGGACTATAAACCTAAGGGAACGTGTAGTTTCATGGCAATGATTTTTTTGTAGTCAGGCTGATTTCTCCACCTTTGGGCTCTGTGCTGTGTTTAATTAGTGAATGTATTGTCATGGCTGGTAGTTGAGGGGAAAGTGTATCCCTTGTTCTTCCTCCTGAGCATCCCCCCTGTCACTGCTGGGTATCTCCTGTCAGCCTGAGGCAGTTCCCAGAGCAAATGCACAGTTTTGATGCCAAAGCTTGGGCATGTGGTGCCACAGCTGTGCTGCCAGCCCAACCCTGGCAGGCTGGTTTGGTGCCTCTCAGGTTGTTGAGTTGATGTCTTACCTTGAATTGCCACAGAAGAACTTCGTTCCTTCCAGCTTCAAGAATCACAGAGCTGTTAAGGCTGGAAAAGACCCCTGAGATCGAGTCCAGGCTGTGACCCAGCACCACTGAACACATCCCCAAGTGCCACAACCTCACATTTCAGGTCCCTCCACTGCCCTGAGCCACCTGTCCTAGTGCTTGAGCACCTTTTCAGCGAAGAGATTTCCCCCAATCTCCAGTCTAAACCTCCCGAGGGCGTTTCCTTTTGTCCTGTCCCTGTTCCCTGGGAACACAGCCCGGCCCCACCCTGGCTGTCCCCTCCTGTCAGGAGTTGTGCAGAGCCACAAGGGCCCCCCTGAGCCTCCTTTTCTCCAGCTTGAGACCCCAGGCCAGCATGGGGTAAAAGCTGTTAAAAATGAGGTGCAGAGCTGGGTGTCAGAATTATTGAGCCTGTGGTTAGAGCAGAGGCTGGGTGTCAGCTCTCTGTGCCTTGGGACAGGCTGAGCTGTGGTTCAGTGGAGAGGAGCCAGGACTTGCTGTGGCAGAGCCAGGCAGGAGCAGGAAGGCCAGAGGAGAAAGGGCAGGGGGCTGTGATCCCCCCTTGGTGCTGGGGCCTGGCTCTGTGAGCACTTCTGCTTTCCATTGCAGGGACGGCCAGGAGGTGGCAGTGGTGTATTACAGAGAGGGCTACGTGCCCCAGGTCTACGATGAGCAGGTCAGTACCCACCCCCCTGCCCCAGAAACCACAGCTGGGCACTGCCCAGGCAGCTCCAAAGAACCCCAGGGGCAGCTGCCCTCTATGGGGTGGGGTCAGTCCTGCCTGGTGGGGCTGAGAGCATTGGGAGGCTCCAGAGAGCGGGTGGGTGACCCTGCAGAAAGAAAAATGGGTGGCTTTCTTCTCCAGGGGGTCATCCTTTAGTGCAGCCCTGAATTGTTTCTGTACAGTAGGGGTTAACAGGTATATGTACAGGTATGTTCTGTACAACAGGGGGTAACAGGTATAACTTACTTAAACGTTTCAGACTTGCTCTACAGATCACTCTGTGCTCTCCTAGCATGAATCAGGCTGCAGGTAATAATAGCACAGAGCAGATCTGGCTGTTGTCTCGAGGTGGCAGCACTGGACCAGCTGGGGAAGGTGCTCACAGTGGATTGATTTAACTGTGCCACCCAGAGGTGGCGGGAAATTCATGCCTGCTTTTCTCTGGAGTGCTACTCCCACCCCCTGTCCCTGCCAGCAGGCAGGGAGGAGACAAACCATATGTTGAGAACTGCACAGAAAAGAGCAGAGCAAACCTTTTGTGTGTTGTTTTCCCTCCTGGCACGGCTGCTCCCGCTCTGCCTCAGAACTGGGAGGCGCGGCTGCTGCTGGAGCGCTCGCGGGCAGTGAAGTGCCCCGACATTGCCACGCAGCTGGCGGGCACCAAGAAGGTGCAGCAGGAGCTCAGCAGGCAGGGGACGCTGGAGAAGCTGCTGCCAGGCCACCCCGAGGCCATTGCTCGGATCAGAGCCACCTTTGCAGGACTCTACTCCCTGGATGAGGTGAGTGGCAGTGGGCTGGAGCAGGGAGGGGCATGCACTGCTGTGCTCTTAGCAGAGCCCTCTCTTCTTCTCAAGCAGTGGGCCTTGGGGAATTTGTTGGTGCTTTTGCTCAGAGTGATCTGCTGAAGAGCCCCTGCTGCTCCCTGATGTTTTGCTGTTCACAGAATCATTTAGGTTGGAAAAGCCCTCCAAGATCAGAGTCCAACCTTTGACCAAACACCACATTATCAACTAGACCATGGCACTGAGTGCCACATTCCATCATTCCTTGAACACCTCTGTCACAGACGTATTTTATGAAAAACCCTTTTGCTAGGATTTTTTCTCCTGACAAGCTGAGAGGCCTCAGAAATGAAATGTCAGCAATGGTTATCTGCTGCTGTGGAATGCAACAGATGCATCTGTGATTGGTCCATGTTGGTTGTTTCTAATTCATGGCCAATCACAGCCCAGCTGGCTCAGACTCTCTGAGAGTCATGAGTTTTTGTTGTAATTCCTTTCTATTCCTTTCAAGCCTTCTGATAAAATCCTTTCTTCTATTCTTTTAGCATAGTTTTAATATATCATTTTTAAAATATATATTATATCTCTTTTAATATAATATATATCATATATATATTAAAAGAAAATGATATATTATGAAAATAATAAATCAGCCTTCTGAAAAATGGAGTCAAGATTCTCATCTCTTACCTCATCCTGGGACCCTTGGGAACACAACCACACACCTCCAGAGGTGGTGACTCCATCCAGTTCATTCCCATGTCAAACCACCCTGTCCATGAAGAAATGACTCCTGGTGTCCACCTGTTTCCATCCCTTTCCTGCCAGGGTGAAGAAGGTGACAGAATGGCTGCCACAGCCATCGCTGACCCCGACCGCTTCGTGCTGAAGCCTCAGCGTGAAGGTGGAGGTATGAGCTGGGCTCTGGAGGTGTGGGCTGGGCTCTGGAGGTGTGAGCTGGGCTCTGGAGGTGTGGGCTGGGCTCTGGGGGTCTGAGCTGGGCTCTGGAGGTGTGGGCTGGGCCCCTGGGGGTTTCCATTGTGGTTTGTGCTGTGTTTGGGACAGGAAGGAGCTCTGTGCGAGCTCCTGGTCTTGTGCTGAGGGATAAATGGTGGCTTGTGGGTACTCATAGCCATGGGGGCTGGTCCTGCCACTAAGGCAGTTCTGCTCCTGGAGGAGCTGCCAAGGCCCTGGTGCTGGGTATGGGGAACCCAGGCAGCACCTGGGGAGACAAAGGCTGGGTTATTTGGGCTGGCCACAGAGCTGGGACCAGGGGATTCTGCTGTCCTGGAAGGGTTTGATGTGCTGCTTTTGTTTGCCAGGGAACAACCTCTACGGTGAAGAGCTCAGGGAGGTTCTGGAGAAGGTCAAAGACAGCCCTGAGAGAACTTCTTACATCTTGATGGACAAGATCAAACCCCAGCCAGCACTGAATTACCTGCTGAGGGCTCACAGCCCCCTCCAAGTGTCTGAGTGCATCTCTGAGCTTGGGATCTTTGGTGTCTATGTCAGGTGAGCAGTGTGCTTGTGTTCCAGGACAGTTCCCTGCTCCTGACATGGAGCAGGAGCATTTTGCCCCCTGTGCAGCCCAAGCACAGCCACAGCACAGATGTCTGGGGACATGCAGGTGCAGGGGACAGATGTGACCATTCAGTCTGTGCCTCTGGAGCAGCTCTGAGCATGTGAGCTACTGCTCTGAACCTGCTGCCAAACGAGCTGTTAGAAAACCACAGGGCTGGTGCTGGCAGTCAGTGGTGCAATGGGATCCTGGGGTCCATGTGTCCCATCCCTGATTTCTGGGAGCATTTCTTGGGTTCTGAATGAAGCCCCATGTGTGGTTTTTCTGAAGCCCTGGTGGTGTCTGAAATACCTGATGGCTTAATGCCTGTTCAACTCTAATAAGAGCTGGTTTTGTAACCCTCTTAGGCCACGTTTCCATAGGGTATAAATGAAAGTCCATTGCACACAGTTTAGGGAACAAAGGTGCTCTGGCAGCATTCAGCCCTTGGCAGTGCCCATGGCAGAGTGGCCAGTGCAGCCACCACTGCAAGGCTCCCACATTAGCCCTGGGGGCTCTGCCCTGCCCTGTATGCCTGACAGGGACAGTGCATCCTGCTGCTCCACAGAACTGCCAGGAGCTCTGTGCTGTGCAGGGGCTCAGTGCT